ATGGCTATCACATGATAGATTTATTTAAATTTTGCTAAAATTTGCCTAAGAATATCTCTGGAACCACTTGATAAAATTTAATAATTTTTTTTTTATTTGAATTTTGTGATTTCATAGAAATCAAATAAAAAAAAATTTATTAAATTTGATCAATTGGTTGCAGAGATATTCTTGATCAAAGGTTTGGCAAAATTTTGAATAAATCTATCATGTGATAGGCGTTTTAAAAATTCTCAAAATCTTTGATCAAAGATATCTCTGCAACCACTTGATCAAATTTAATAAAAATTTTTTTATTTGAAATCTGTATATTCATAGAATTCAAATAAAAAAATTCATTAAATTTGATCAAGTGGTTGCAGAGATATCTTTGATCAAAGATTTTGAGAATTTTAAAACATCTATCACATGATAAAAATTTTGCCAAAACTTTGATCAAGAATATCTTTGCAACCACTTGAACAAATTTAATGAATTTTTTTTTATTTGAATTCTATGATTCTATAGAATTCAAAAAAAAAAATTAATTAAATTTGATCAAGTAGTTAGTAAGATATTTTTATTTAAAGTTACATGAATTATAATAGTGCAAATAGTGAAAATCATGGTATAAATAGCAGTACCCAATAATTTGTATAAAAATTTTAATAAAGGTATTTTGACAACTACTTGATCAAATTCAAGAAAATTTTTTTATTTAAATTGTATAGTTCTATAAAAATAAAAAAAATTTATTAAATTTAATTAAGTAGTTATTAAAATATTTTTGAAAAAAAATTAAAATTTAAATCATATTAGCTAATTTTGTTTTTAATCCCATCTTTAGTAGCTAAATAAACTTCTTTATTAGTATTTTACTAAAAAGAAGTCAATTGAGCTTTCTAATTTGTATTTTATGAATTTGGAATAATCACATGATTTGTTGATTATAAATATTGTAAAAAAATTCTTAAATAAACTTTTGTTACATATAATTTATACAATACCTTACTTCCAGTGATTATTATCTTAAATTCTTGCTTATCTAATTACTAAAATACTTCAAGTAAACTTTTAGAGCAAATAATAGACTACTTAAATCCAAATTGTTATGCAAAACAGATAAAAATTTATGGAGATATTATAATTTTTGTAAAAAAAAATCTATATGTTTTGCAAGTTTTTTTCATGATTAAAAATACAATTTTGAAGACTTTGGTAAAATGAACTATATAAACCTTTATTAATGTAGTTGATAAGTGGAATGTTCAGCTATTTTTAGTTAAAATTTCAAGTCTTTAGCTTCAAAATTGGTGAAATTATAAGTATTTTTCAGATTGCTTTGCAGATACAAAAATTTTGATGAAAATGTATAAAAATTCTTGGTTTTATGTTAGATTTTGAAAACTTACATAGTAATGTATACTCAAATTTCACACACCAGTTGAAGTGATTTGTAGAATTTTTTTGTAAAGTTTAGTATGATTTGGACAAATTTTGACCAAGATCTTAAATTTTTTCATTAGTTTCTCTCTTGTAAAAGCTATTTTCTATATGTTTAAGAATGAAGCAGACTAATGAAAAATTTTTTAGCTAAATGAAATATATAATATGATTATAATAAAGTTAGTACAGATGGAAGGCAAGAATTTACTTGTAAAATTTCAGCTCAAACTAACTAATATTTGTAAAATGATTCCAAATTTTGATGAAACAGTTTTAAAGTATTTTTGCAGATCAAAATGTTCATGTAACTATAATTGTTGAATATCTCAAAAACTAATTAATATAATAACTAAAGTGATTCTAAGAAACTAGCATTTTTTTTTATTGTTCTACAATTTTTATTAATAATACAAAATTGATTATCATAATAAAATTTCTCACAAAATGTGTTTCTTGACTCAGAAATAATAATAAAAATAAAGTATTTAATTGTATATATTAATGTTTAAATTTATTTAAATATAGGTTAAAAAAAATTACATTTGAATAAATCTAAGTTTACCTAATTTACTATGATAAAATTTTCCATTTTGTTCTGATAATGGTAAAATTTGTTGCTGTTCAAATTTTAAATATAATCTTTCATTTAAAATTTCAAATAATCTATCATTATTTAAATAATTATGTACTAATTTATAACTTTCTTAATATTTTAATTTATCCCATCCTTGATTAGCTTTTGTAATTTCTTTTAAATAATCAAAATGCATTTTAAATCTTGATACTCTAGTATCATTTTGAACACATCTTCTTAAAGTTGTAAAAGAATAATTAGAATCTGTTAAATGTATATCTAAAATATTTCTAGATAATTCATTAAAAGAAGTAAATGGTGTAATAATAAATTTTCTAGGTATTAAATTAATACAATCTTCAATAAATAATAACCAAATTTTGTTAATTAATAAATTTAGTTCATTATCAAATCTATTTGTTGCTTTAATAATATCAATCCAATTTTCAATTTGATTTTTTTCTTCAGAAGTAATATTTTTATATTCATCAGGAATTGTTATTAATAATTGTTGTTGATTAATTTGTGAAGAAAAATTAACAATACAATTATCAATATCAAAAATATCAGGTAATAACCAAGCTACATTAGATCTTTCTATTATTTGGTATAATTCTAAAGTTCCAACATTATTTTCATTATCAGAATTTGAATCACCAAAATATTTTTTGATGAAAGGTATTGCAGTAAAACTTTGGTTAATTGATTTCATTAAAATAACTAAACAAATTTTAAAAACTTTGTGATTTGAAGTAAGTTGTTGTGATGAAAAATTTAAAGAAAGATTATAGGTGTTTAAAAGTGTTTTAAGTTTTGCAATTTTAAAATTTAATATATCCTCAGTAGGTATAATATAAAAAGGATTAGAATTAAAAAAAGTAGGTAATCTATTTAATAGTATAGTAAAAAAATAGTCTAAAATAGAATAGCCAATTCTATATTCTAATCTTGCTCCATAATTCATATTGAAATTTTCTTTAAATATTTCAATTAAATTATCACAAGCATTTTGAACTTTTTCAGAATTAAATACAGCATCTCTTTCATTTAAATCAGATAAAAGTGTTGGTATAGAAGATGTAAAGACCTCCTTTTCAATATGGTAAGCTTGTGCATAAAAAATATTATGCCGAATTCCACGTTGTTTAGCTTCACCAACAGCTCCACAGATATCGTAAGTATGAGCCCAATTATCAATTCTTGATCTTGTAATATTAGTAGAAAAGGTAACACCAATACCATATAAAAGATTTATAACAGTATTTCTTTTCCAATAAATAGAATTAAAAGATGTAGTATTAGAAGAAATAAATTCAATTCCAAAATCTAATTTAACAGAATTTTTCTAATTAGAATTAGAATCAGTTGAAAAATTTTTAAAAATAAAATTTAAAGATGTTTGCAATTCAGAATTGTTTGAAAATTTAGTAAAAAGTTTAAGATTTTTAGCATAAATATGGAAAAAAAAATTTTTAAATTTAAATAAATTAGAATTTGAATTAATTATATTATTCATAGTATTTGTAAGATTTAATAAATAAGTATGATGCAGTGAATAAGAAGAAAATATTTGGGTATTATTTTTGTTTTTTGATTTAAGATAATAAGATTTAAAAGAAGCAGGATAATGTTGTAAAATATCATTAGGACAATTAATAATTTTTAAAGAAGGTAAAAATATTTGATTATACCAAATAGCTAAATTATTATTAGTTATAAAATTTATTTTAGAACCAAAAATATACATTTTTGGAAAAAAAAGTAAAATTTTAAAAACATTACAATCTCCAAATTGTGCAAATTGCATATGTGGAATATTTATCATTTTATCTTTTTTTTTAATATTATTTTGATCAATAACATCACAATATTCATGATTGTGATGTTTTAAATTCCACATTTTATTTGCAAATGGAAAAAATTGAATAGGAGTATTAATAATATTTAAAGAATAAGTATTTAATAAAAAGGAATCTAAATCAAATTTATATAATATATTATTAGATAAATTTGTTTCATAATTAGAAAAATTTATTTGTGGAAAAATAAGATTTCCTTCAGTATCATAAGTATCATCTGAAGATATATTAGATAAAGCATTTTTAATATCAGATAAAGAAAAATTATCTTCAGTTGCAGGTAAAAGAAAAGTTTCTAAATATTGTAATAAAGAATAAGAAGGACCAAGTCTAATTGGAGAAGAAATAATAGGTCCAGAAGTAGTAAGAATACAATTTTCAAGTGAATTAAAATCAGAATTTTCAATATCACTCATATTATCATCATAATTACTATTATCAATATTCATAAAATTATTATTATTGTCAACATTATCTATAATGTTTTCAATATCACTAAGAGTAATAGTATCTTCAATATCACTAGTAATAGTGCTATCAGAAGAATAATCAAAAATTGCAGAATCATTAATAGATTCATTAATTTGAAAATTATCAAAGTAAGACATAGTAATTGAATAAGTTTAATTTATAAAATTTAAATTTGGTTATTTTTTAGAAATTTTATATAAATAATTTGTAAATTTTGATAAAAATTTATGATAAAAAATTACCTGCTTTTATAAAAAAAAGTTGTATAAGAATTTAAAAATAAATGTATATAAAAAATTAAAAAAACGTATAAAAATTAAAAAATCAATATAATTTTATCCTAATTATGGTTAATTTCGGCCAAGTTTCGGCCGAGATTTTAAATAGCCATGTTCGGCCGAACTCGGTTTAAAATTTGGCTAAAAATAGAAATTCGGCCGAGTTAAGCTAAATTCGGCTTTTAAATTCGGCCGAAATTAAAAATAGAAATTTAGCTTTAAAAATTAGCCGAAATTAAAAATAGAAGTTCGAGTTTACACTTGGTATATAGTAAATATATACCAATATTATGTATTTTTATGCGTAGAACAAGTTTACTTAGAACATAAATGTAGAGTTAATTAGTAAAATTGTGAGAATCATGGTATTTTTTATTATTTTATTAATAAAATTAAGAAAAATAATATTATCCTT